CCCCCAAAACCCCAAAACCCCAAAACCCCTCGTATCCTCTTCCCCTTCGAAATATAAAATATTTAATGGCTGCCAAACTTTGCCCTATTATACCAATTTTAGTACTTCTGGTCACGCCTGGGTTCTGACTGGCTGGGAATTTAGGGGCGGCAAGAACCCTGGCTGTCTCTACGAGTCAGGATGAGTGAAAGACTTGAATTGCAACCAGTGGGCAGAGGTGGTGTGCACAGACTGGGAGTACTCAGGATGATGGACAGTGATGTAGTGAGGCGGATACTTTAGGGTATTGAGACGGTAGTGGTAGCTATGTGTGCTCTAATAGTATTGAAAATATTGGAGGGCTCATACTTTGTCCTGAAGTAAATTCTCAATGCGGAGACACTGAGCATCTTTATGATAAAAATAATGTTGGGTATACATTTTCTTATGGGAATATTCCAACAACAGCACTTTGAACAGAGAGGTTGTATACAAGCAATTTTGATGTAGAGAAGGCTAGTTTTATTTTCAGTAAGCTACCTTAATTTTATTTCTCCTCAATTTATGATTTTTGTTTCTTCATGAAATATTTTTGATCCAACATTAGATATAGAACATTTGTTTTTTAGCATGGTTTCTACAGTTGCCATTCCCTTGATCACATTTCTATTCATATGAATGTTTCGATATCCCTGACCTAGTCAAGAGTTTGATATTTCTCTATATAGATAACTTAACTGGCCTCAGAGTTATATTATTCACTGCCCCAAGAGGCTCTAACTCCTATGATTACAGAGGCACTGGAGTTATTGGGAATGAGATTTCAGTCCCATTTAGTACCAATACTGATGTCTTCATGATCACTGAGCCCTTGAGTGCAGATAATAGCTATTCTATATAAGCCTGATAATCTCCAGTTGGGACACCTCCCTAGACATCACTGCGAATCCAGTCGGAAATAACACCATAATTCCCCCAAAAGAAGACACTAACAAACCCTCTCCCTTACCATGGCTAATCCTAGCAGCCCTTGGACTCCTAGTAATCACAGCAGTGGCCGTAGTGACTGTCATTTGTTTACTAAGAAGAGCCAAAAGAGCAAGAATAAAAGCCATTCAGACGGAAAGAGACCCAAGGTAAGATACTTTTAGATAGGTTTTACTGTTGGCTTGTCTTACAGTTACTTTTCTAAAATTTTAGAAATCCAGAATCTGCTTTCCAGAATATTTACTTTTCTCCGCTTTCACAAATACCAAACCAGCAAATCAACATTAATAACTCCAACGCCCAGATTAATCCGGCTCCAAGTATCATAAATGTTGGTGCTCCATCTCCTCAAATAGGTAAGCAGAGGTCTTAATGATTGTTGAATGTCTCTTCCAAACCTATTAATGAATACAATCAGTTCATGATTAGAAAGATCTAGGACTTAGCATCACTTTTTGATATATGCAAATTGTTGATGTTGGACTTCAAGAACTGTTGTTCACCAAGAAGACTCAATTTGTACTGATAATCACTCTAATAATTGGATTTGAGTATTTTTGCTCACACACTCCTCCAAAATTCCAGAATTTGGAAGGTTTAATCTGTCTAATCACGATTTCATACTTTTCAGAATTTCTCTTTAAATATTTTCGAGTTAAAAATTCTTATAAGCACAGTCTGCTAATTATTCAAGATTTTGATGATCTTTCTAGCTTTATCTGAATTGGGACATCTACAACAGAGACTTCCGCCTATCAGAGATACAAGCAAGATAGAGAGAAGTGGGATTGAGAATAATTAAGAAAGTTTAAAATGAGAGTCTGAACATTTTGTGTAATAATACCTGGAGATCAAGTTGAGACTCTTACCAATCAACCTAATAACAACAGCAAACATATCACATAAGATTAATATTATTCCTCTTCATTTCCCCTCTACCCATACGGGGTTTTGGGGTTTTGGGGTTTTGGGG